AATCTTTTGAATGTTCCACCAAATCTTAATCCAGAAAGCTTTTATATTTCTACAAGTCCACCAAATATGGAAATAGGTAGCATCCAAACTACCACATCTCCAACATTTGGGCTGTAAATTAGGATACATACAAGACAACTTTTTAGGATCCAGATGCCATCTATAAAACATTTTATAAAAAATTTCTCTTAAATTCTGGGCCTGGGTAAACTTTACATTTCCATAGCTACCATATTATTAAACCTTTCATGATAGTTACCTGTTTGAGTTTTCAGAGAGTGCATCTTTCATAGTTGCTTTCAGATTATCCTCAGTGCTTCTGGATTCAGCCTCTTCACATGGCTCTAGAATACTACTTATACCAGTTGATGTGCTTCCCACAGAGGTATTTCTTTTATGACAGAGGTCAGAGAAACTGGATGATCTGGAATGTGCAGTACTGTATCCTAAAATATATAATTATTAATTCAGAGCCATTAGTCTGATGCCATGTCAAAAATTCCAGATTCTTTTTCTAATCGGAATACACATTTTTAATGTCAATTATAATATAGCTATTTGTGATTTATTTGATTAGCAGCACCTAGTAAGTACTTGTACCTAGAAAAGACATGGATCCTTAAAATATTACAGGTAGTTGTTCACTTACAACAGTTCATTTAGTGACCATTCAAAGTTACAACCGCACTGAAAAAAGTGACTTATAACCATTTTTCACACTTACAATTGCAGCTTCCCCATAGCCATGTGATCAAAATTCAGGCACTTGTCAACTGACTCATATTTATGACGACTGCAATGTCCTGGGGTCATGTGATCACCTTTTTTGTAACTTTCTGACAAACAAAGTCAGTGAGGAAGCCAGATTCACTTATCAATTGTGGCAAGAAAATGAGGCAAAATTCACTTAATGTCTCACTTAGAATAGAAATTTTGGGCACTATTGTGGCCATATGTTGAGGACTACCTATACTAAATTCTAAAATAACAATTTAAAACCTTCTGAACATCCATTATGGCTTCAACTGGACTACTAGCTATCCAAAACAAAACAAAAAATCTAGAGCCCTAAAATTCCATATGGATCCACAGCTTTGCGAGTGAAAAATTTACAAAAGTTTCTTACCTTGAAGAATTTAGGGCATGAATATTACTAAGCAATAAGTTTACCGTGATAAGGGAATGGTTTTCATCATTACAAGCTTATCATTTATCTAGCAAAAAATCAAGTCTAAATGAATCTAGCTTCGCAGATTCACATCATTAATTGTCATGTTGGCCATGAAATCTTGATTTGTGCCTACCCTGAGGCTTCAATGTAAATACTAAACTCAAATAAAATTGGGTCACCAACATATATGAGGAATTACTGCATCAGTTCAGAAAGAAAGGCAGTTAGATGAATTCTACATATTCATTTTCTACTACAGAATTACAAAACCTGCTACCTGCTAAAGAGGCATCTGCATAGGAGGATACATTCAGAAAATACAATGCTTGGTTCCTAGAGACTTAGCTGTTGCTAGATTTAAAAAGAGAGCCAGTTTGGTAGAGTTGTTAAGGCACCAACCTAGAATCCAGCAGAGTGAGTTCTAGTCCTGCACAAAAACACGAAACTAGTAGGGTGACATTGGTCCAGTCACTCTCTCTCAACTCTAGAAAGAAGGCAATGGCAAATCACTTCTGAAAAATCTTGTCAAGAAAACTGAAGGGATTAGTATAAGACTTGAAGCATGACAAAACAAACAAACCTGATATTGATAATGAACGGGGAAAGGAAGGTACTGGGAAGTTGAGGTATGCTGGGGCTGCTGATAATTTGTTTTTTTAAAAATGATGTATTAAATCAAGCAGAGTCTCCACTTGGAGGGGATGCATAAATAAATTAAATTAAAAAGCTAATAACAAAACTGAGAGTGATTTTCCTCATCTGTTTCATCCTAACATATTTTGCTAATGCATGTCAGAGAACTTTCCCATGCAAAAAAATCTTTGTTGGGTGTGTTCTTTTTTTTTTTTTTAAACTATTGATGAGCAGCATCTTTTAGTTCAAGGGACACCTGATAAACCCTTCAGTGTCAGGGCTAAAGTAGTGGCTGAAAAATCTCAACCAAATTTGGCCTTATTTGAATGCAGGAATGCAGAGAAGGTAAAGAAGCACCTATCTTCAATGGACATTATGAGAATTAGAGATAAAAGTGGACAGTACAGGAAGAGAGAGTGAAATTTCTAAAAGCTGATTAGGTGTAAATGCTAAGCAATATTTTCTGCTTGCCTAAAACTGTCAGCTCTATGACTACTGATTCCTGTAAAACAATAAAAGCAGAGTTTGTAGTTATGTTTATCCTTGTCTCAGTGGGAACCTAACACCCATGACTCGGGAAGAACACTCATATGTCTCACATGTTTTTCTTTGTGCTAGCCTGTACATTCTCCTTCACTGTATTTGTTGCATGTCACTCTTTGAATGGCAACATACATGGATCTTTGTCCTATGAGAACTCAACAAATTTTTCTGGGGCCAAAACTAGCATTCACTGAGAAATCAAAACAAGCTGCCCAAATGAAGCAATCGGTAGAAGGATGTTACAAAATAAACTAATACACAACAGCTAACATTTCTTCTCTCACGTTGTCATGTTGTAAATATTCTGACAAGATCCAATATATGCAATGTGTATATGAATCCGAATCAATTAAATCTTCTCAGTCTGGAAAAAATGTTATTACCACAAAGATTATATTTCTACTAGGTAAATTTAAGGTAAGAAACGATTAAGGTGGACTTGTAGTAAAATAAGGAAATGGCTATGAGAGATCTTAAGTAATGCCTACAGAAAGTCACTTCTTAAAAATAAAGTTAAACGTTGTTATTTTGGAAAAAGAAACGTGTTTCTTCTCGAGTCTTCAGACATGAATTCAAATAACTAGTACTAGTGGATTAATTATTTTGGTAAGCTCCTTTTGTAATTATTTATTTAACCACAATGGAATTTGGAATTTTGGTCATAAGTTGCACCTTGAGGCACCACCTGATAGAACTTGATTTTACAACTATTTTTCCAAAGCCATAAAGTGAGTCATTGCAGTCACTATGTGCATCATGTGGTTAAGTGAATTAAGTTGTTGTTAAGCAGATCTATTCTCTTGAATGGTGTTTTTTTTGCCAGAAATTGATTTTTGCAATTACCAGTTTACTGTTGGTAGCAAACAATTTTTAATCAAATTACACAACATACTGTAAATTTCTCAAATTTCTTGCATATAGGTAAATTCGCTTCATATGTTCAAAGACCCATAACTGTACATAAGTATTTTCCTTTCCTTCCATCAATAGATAGATGGGAAGGGGGGATTTTTTAGACAAGTAGGAGGGTGAAGGAGGTAAACGGCACCCAGAGTCATGTCTCTGAGATGAGTGGCTACAGAAATCAACTAAATAAATTGGATTATACATTAA